GGCCCCGGCCGCCGCGGCCGCCTCACCCTCGGCCGCCTGCAAAGTCTGCAGGAGCTGGCGCGCTTCCTCCTCCTCCTCCTCGGTTGCCGCCGCCACCGCCTCCCCCGCGGCCGCCGGCCCAGCGCTCGGCTCGGCAGGCAAGGTAGCCATGTTTTGTAACTTTGGGAAGTTCCTCCCTCCTTCTCCTCCTCCTCCCTCGGGCTTTCCCCAGCCCCCTCCCCCACCCCAGCCCGCTCCCCAGTCTTCTCCCCCGCCCCCCGCCGCCCCCAAGGCCAGACCCAGCGCTCCACTTGGGTCTCTGTCCCTGTGTGTGTGTGTCCGTCTCCCTCCCCGTCTGTCCGGGATTCTCCCTTTGTTTTCCCTCCGTCTCTGGCCGCGCTTTCTGCTTCCCCCCGCGTGTGCCTCTGGCTCAGGGCCTCAGTTTCCCCATCGGGACCACGGAGAAGGTAACGGGCAGTCCAGGAGGCCTAAGGGCGTGAAGCCACCTCCGCCCCGAGACTGAGCTTCTTCACGCCTCCGTCTCCAGGGTCCTCAGAGGGCCCCCCCACTCCCCATCTCTGCGCGCTCCGCCCCTCGGAATTCCCGGCTCCACAGGGGGGCGGGTCTGGCAGGGAGGAGGGGGAAACGAGCTAGAAAGTTTGCAGCAACTTTTCTTGAGCGTAAGTCCCAAGAGCGGATGCGCGTGGCCTGCGCAGGCGCAGTGCGAGTAGGATGGCCGCGCGCGCTGTCGGCCCAACCCCCTTCGTCTGGACTCTCGAGTGACACAGCTGAGCCACAGCTGGGCGGGGGGCGGTGTCTCCCGGTGGGCCCGCTCTCCCTCCCCTATTGGCCACATGGCTAAGCCCCGCCTCCCACCTTTTCCTCCTCCTACCGTGATTCGCCCGCTTTGGGTCCCGCTAGCTGCCCAGCAGGCCATTGGCCACCCGCGCTCGCCTCCTGATTGGCGCACTGGCACCCTCCTCCTCACCACGCTTACAGAACACAGCTGAGGCTAGAGCTTTGGGCAGACGATAGGGCCTTTTATTCGCGAGGGTCGGGGGTGGGGTTCTAGGTGTGGACAGACAATAAATACCGAGGAATGTCGAGTTTCAGTGCATCCAAAACGTGGACTAGGGTGATGGGGTCCGGGAGCCTGTCAGCGGGTCGGAGGACAAGGTCAATAAATATTCAAGCCACCCAGGCCGGGAAAGCCAGCTGTGACTCCGAGAGCAGCATAGGTGAGAAAGGGGTCGCAGGAGTCCCCGAAAAGCAAGGCTTGCGAAAGCACAAGATTCCCGAGAGCAGGCAGAGGCCGCAGGAATAGCTCGTTCCCGGAGCTCATGCGCAGGGGGATTTGTGGTTTGGGAGCCGACGGCAGGAGGGCTGTGTGCAGGGTGACAATCGGGTGGCCACGCCCCGCCTGCTGCCTTCTCAGAACCCAGTCCGCTTGTCCACGTCGGGGCCTCAGCCTGGCTGGGGAAGAGGTGGCCGCCGGGGTCTCCACCAGCGGCGTTTCTGGGCGCTAGCCGCCCGCGAACCCCGTTGGCCAGCACAAGCCCGCTCCTCCTTCCCCGGCCGCCAGGGGGCGGGCCCGGATCACGGGACAGAAGCTGGGCGCGGACTCTCGCGCCGAGTGCGGGCGGGGACGCGGTGGGAGCGGCTTCTGCCGTCCCCGGGTCACTCAGCCACCAACCGGGCCTGAGTCGAGGACTGTCTGGGGTTCTAGGGTTCAGGGGGCGAAGGCTGCTCCCGAGCGACGCCAGGCTGGGGCGAGATGGCCCGCACGGGCCACGAACCCAAAGGAGCACAGGGCCGTGGCAGGAGCCAGAGCAGCGGCGAACAAGAGCAGGCAACGCGCCTCGGGTAGGCCAGGCCTAGGGACCTGCGGGCGGGAGGGTTGGGTCGGCGCGCGGCCCGGCGGCCCCCGTCGTCACCCGCAGATGGGCCCACAGCCCCCAGCCCGCGTCCGCCCCTCACAGCGGTTGGCCGGCGGGCAAGCCAGAAGCCCCGTCGCACGCCTCATTGGCTGCTTCCTAGCGGCCCGCGGTGATTGGCTGCCCGAGCGCCCGCCCTCCCCGCGGTGCGTAGAGCCGGCCGAGGCGCAGCCAAGCCTTTGTGGCCCGAGTGCTCGGCGCGAGGCGGAGGCGCGGCGGCGGTGGGACGTACCCTGGCAAGGAGCAGCAGGTGGCGGCGGTGCATGGGGCCTGGCCCCACCAGCGGGCACTGGCCCAGAGCCACGGCCGAGGGGCCATCTAGCTGGAGAGAGAAGGGACAGGTGACCCGATCGGAGCCCAAACTAGCCCAGCCGCCCAGGGCGGGGTGCGAGGGGCAGCAGGGGGAATTGAAGCCGGGAGGGAATTTCTGGGGATCCCGAAAGGGATCTGTTGAAAGCCCTGAACCAAGGGAGATCTGACGGATGGGCTGAGTGAAGGGCGTCTGCCTTCTGGAACCCCAAAGAAGTAGGGTGAGCCCTAAATCTAGACGGGGAGCAGGTAGCAGGCCTGAGGCAGGGGAAAGAAAGGGGTCTTACATGGGAAGGTGCATCCGTGGCCCGGGGACTGGGGACCCCCCTGACAGCTGGAAGGAGAAGAGAGAGGCAGATGGCGCGTGGAGGGGCGAAGGAGGGCGGTGGCGCGGCGTGCCCCAGCCTGGGCCCCTGCCCTCCCGCGGTGGCGCGCGCGCGCACTGGCTCGAGGACCACCTCCCTGCGCCCGGGGAGCGGGGCGGTGGGGGACTCGCCTGCGGCTCCCGGGCCCTGCAGCAGCTCCATCCGCTCCTGCAGCTGCCGAACGTGCGCCTCCAGGTCTCGATTCCGGGCCTCGGCCTCGAGCAGCTGACTGCGGGGAGACCCGGAGAGTGAGCTCCGGGAGGTCCGGGCAAGAGAAGCTGCAACGGCGCCAGGGGCCTCGTGCCCGACCTGACCTGGCAAAGTTCTGGTTGGTGCTGCGGATGGCCTCCAGCTCCCGGCTCAGGCTCTGCCGGGTGCGCACCTCCTCCTCCAGGGCTTCCTGGAGCTCCCGCAGGGTCACCTCCTCCCCTGCCGCTGTCTCCTCTGCTGCAGGGGCAGCTGGTGGATCTGCCACTTCAGCCTGTGTGTGGGGACCCAGTTTAGGGTCGCCTGGGTCCTTGGAGCACTAGGGCTTGTCCACCACCACCCCCATAGCTCCTGTGAGGAGGGGTGGGGGTGTCCTGGTCTCCAGGCTTCTCTCTGGCCCCCACCTGTCCACACAGGACCTAAAGAGCTACCCCTGTGACCTATCCCTCCTGCCTCCAGCTCCCCTGATCAGGACAGGGCCTGTTTTACCAAGAAGCTTCCTGCTGATCTTTGTCCCTTCTTTCCCCCTAATCCAGTAACAGTGCCCCACGGGACCCTCCTGTCATGTAATGAACGAAGTAGCCTCTGCCCTGAACTTCCCCACTGACCACAGGCCTCTTCCCTCTCCATGGCTGGCTCGCCGTTATTACTTTCCTTGTGGGGACCAGGCCTTGCCTGAAGGAGCCTCATCTCCCTGCTTTACTTGCTGCTTCTGTCCTGCGTGTTAGCAGAGCTTAGCCCTGCCCGGCGCTGCCACCCAGGAAGCCCTGGCCAGCCCCCGCCTCCATCTACTCACTGTTGCTTCTGTTGGGGACACTGTGGGCCCCATACTGGGCACCTGCACATGTGGCTCAGGCAACTGCTGGGCCTCCAGTTCCATGGGTGTGGGGTCTGGGACCTCATTGTCCCTGGGGAAAAGAAGAGGGGTGGGAGAGCCAGTGGGTATGGGTCAGTGGCCCCTAAGACCCCATGGTTGAGGAGGGACAGGGGAAAAGAAGAGAACCAGTTGCCAGGTTGGGTGACAGGCCGTCTTCTGGCTGGAAAACACCTGGGAGCTGTCCTGTCTGAAAACTTGAGGCACAGATGCCTATCTTTTAAGTCTTCTGGACTCTTGCCTTAACATCCCTTGTTCACGCCCCTCTCCTTAGGACTTCAGAATAGAGAGCGGGACCTGATGAGGAAGACCCTGCCCAGCTTTGGAAACCTCCAAAGATGTGGGTTTTTTTCTGTGTGCCTCTGTGTGTGTGTGTGTGTGTGTGTGTGTGTGTGTTACTGGGATTGAACCCAGGCTCTTCCCACTGAGCTACACCTCCTCTAAATCACTAAGTTGCCCAGACTAGGCTCAGAATTATGATCCTCCCACCTAAGCCTCCCAGAATGCTGGGATTGTAGGCATGTACCACATATCTGCTTCAAAGCAGTATTTTTAAATCTGAACCTGTAATCCCAGCACTTAGGAGGCTGAGGCAAAAGGATTACCGAGAGTTCAAGGCCAGCCTGAGCTACACAGGGAGACCCTATCACAAAAAAAAAAAACAAAAACAAAAATGGTGTAGGATCCTAAAAGTCTGACTCTGGATCAGGACATCCTCCATGGCCCCTGGCTGAGGGGTCAGATCCTCCCTAGGAATATGAAATTGCAGTAAAAGTGGTGTCCTTTCCAACCCAGCAGTCCCTCCCATGGAGCACGTCCCCAGGACCTGTTTATCCTGGACATGCTCAGGACCAGCCTGCTGGCTCCCACACAGTATGAGCTCTGCCCTGAACTGCCAGAGAAGAGGCTCCTCATAGCAAGGCGGTCCTGCCCCTGCGCTAAGCCCTGGTTGATCAGCTGCGGCCTCAGGCCACACAGATGTGCAACACATGTTGGCCAGGTGTGAGCCCGGGGCTTTGCTGAATGGTGGGTTCATACCAGCTTTCTTCTCCTTATCCATGCTAATTGTATTAAACATGCTCTTGTTTGTATAGCTGATGTTTTTAAAATGTTTTATTGGTAGATGAGTGATTGAAGTGTGTTTAAGTTGCCTGTAAAAAGTCTAAACTTACTCCTAAGATTCTGAGGTCCCATGACTCTCTACTTAAAATGTAAAAGTCAACAGCTGCAAGATTCTCAAAGGCCAAAGCTAGGTTCTGAGGTTTTACAGTTGAATCCACAATTGAATTTACAGTCGGCTTCCTAAGAGCCCTTGACCCCAACACCAACCCTGCCGACATCCCAGGGCCTCTGCTCAGGCCTGCTTACCTGAGGGCCAAGCAGGAGTAGGAGAAGCCCACGAAAGGCAGGTGCACCCCCAGCGGTACGCCTTCCTGCACATCCGACAGCGTCTCCTGCACAGAACACACACGACCAGCAACTGTCAGGGCGGGCCCCTCCCCCTTTTCTGGTCCTGGCTTAAATGCCCCCCAGGACTCACCCGAGCTCAAAGATCAACTAAAACAGCTCCTCCAGCCAGGTATGGTGGTGCATACCTGTAGGAGGCTGAGCCAGGAGGATTGACATGAGTTTGAGGCCAGCCTGGACCACACAGTGAGTTCAAGGCCTGGTTGAACTACATAGTGAGACTGTCTCAAAACACCAAATAAATAAATAAATAAAATGGTTCATCATTTTTTAGTGTATTCTGTTGTATCCCCTCAGGGTCCTTGCCAGACTAAAATTACTATTTTTTTCTTTTTTCCTGGTACCGGGAATTGAACTCATGACCTCGCACTTGCCAGGCAAGCGCTGTGCCGCTGAGCTAAATCCCCAGCCCCTTAAAATTACTATTGAACCCAGACTTTTCATGTTGAGTGACATTCTCAGACCTTTTTTCATTTTTTATTTAAGACAGTCTAAGGGGCTGGGGATTTAGCTCAGTGGCAAAGCACCTGCCTGGCAAGCGCAAGGTCGTGAGTTCGGTTCCCGGTACCGGAGAAAAACCAAAAAAAAAAAAAAAAAGACAGTCTAAGTTGCCCAGGCTGGGCTCAAACTGCGCTCCTCCTGCCTCAGCCTCCCAGTGTGCTGTGGCTACAGGCGACCACCACTATGCCCCGGCTTAATTACTCCTTCCTTAGACTGTAGGTAGATCAGATTTTGTAGGGACCAGGGCTGAGTTGGTCAGTCTGTGTCCCCTGAACTGCCCAGCACAAAGGCATTCCAGGAGAGTTGCTGAGGGCAGAAGGAAGACTCAGCTCCCCCTCCTGCAGGAAGCCCCCAGCACCTTCCATTTTTGGTCCAGAGGCCCACCATCGAACCAACCCCTGTCAGCCCAGATCACGCAGAGACCTCCCTGTCTGGTGACTGGACTGTGATTGGGGTCACACCGGGTCCCTGCACTCGGTGCTCTGGGGAGTAAATGAGTGTGGCCAGCTGTCATCAGGGAGAGGGAGGGGACGGGCAGGTTCCCTCAGCCGAGCAGGGCCGCAGGTACCTACCCCGCCCCCGCTCACCATGGCAGTGAGCCCGTCCTCCACCACGTCGAAGTTGCACGTGTCGGTGGCACCCTCGAAGTCCGGGGTGAAGGGGGGCATGCTGTCACGAAGGCCTTCCCAGTCAAGGCCAAAGAAGAAAGGATGTTTCCGGAAATCCTCTGCTCCATCCCGGCCCAGCCGTACCTCCGGGGGACACAGCAGCCCCTGGATGAGGTTCCGAGCCTCCTCAGGGACCCCAGTGTCTGCCAGGGGCAGAGACAAGTGCTCCTGCTCGGGAGAAAGAGGGACAGAGAGTCCGCCTGGGTGCCTGGGGTGACAGACAGGCTCCTGGGGCCTGTGCTCACCTTGTAGTGCACGATCTTGCCGTAGGTCTCAGCGGTGGAGTCGGCGTAGAAGGGCGTCTGCCCGTAGAACATTTCATAGGCGAACACGCCCAGTGCCCACCAGTCACACTCTGGCCCGTAGCTGCCTGTCCCGGATCCACCGCCCACAGCCTGCAGGATCTCGGGAGACAAGTAGTCTGGGGTCCCCACGGCTACCAGAGACCACACCTGAAGGGACAGGACCACAGCTGGGCTCCAGCCCAGCTCTCCTAACCAAAACCATGCCTCCCTACTGTCTTTTTTTTTTTTTTTTTTTTTGGTCTTTTTTGAGACAGGGCCTCGCTATGCAGTTCGGGCTGGTCTCAAACTCACAACGATCGTCCTGCCTCAGCCTCCGGAGTGCTGGGATTACAGACGTGAGCCACCTCGCCCGGCACGCCTTCCTACTGTCTAACCCTGCGCCCCAGGACTGGCTTCTGGACACCTCCCTCCTCTTCTGAGTTGCCCCACTCCACACTCTGCAGCCAATTGTGTCTTCTTGGTGGGCAGAGCTGCCCTGCGGTGGGTGCACCCACTTACCGTTCCATCCGCCCGCAGTTTAAGGCAGGAGCCAAAGTCCGCCAGGCGGATGTGGCCACAGCGGTCCAGCAGGATATTGTCCGGTTTGATGTCCCTGAGGGGAAGGATGTAAGGTGCCTTCTGAGCACCTTACAGTCAGGCTTCGCCGTTTTGAACAGTTCAGCCCCTGCAGGGATTCTGGGACCCCACTCCTAGCTCCCGCCTCCAGAGCGCCCCAATCAGCACCATCCTTCGCTAGGCACCATCCCTTCCAGGCTCCAGCCTCTAAAGCAAGCGCCCCATTCATCTCCTGGGCCTCTCAGGCCCCGCCCCTCAGCCCCTGCCACGCCCACCTGTGCACGTAGCCCAGCCGGTGCACTGAGTCTATGGCCATGACAATCTCGGCCAGGTAGAAGCGCGCCATCTCGGCTGGGATCCGCTCCCCAAACTTGCTCAGCAGCGTTAGCAGGTCCCCGCCCACGTAGTATTCCATGACCAGGTACTGGGAGGGGGCGAGTCATTGGGGGTGGGGTCAGTGGCCCCCCCAGGTGCCCATCGCTGATAGCCAGGGGCAAAGATTCCCAGAGGGAGATGCCCTGTCCCTGGGTGGAGACCCCACAGTCCCAGACCCAAGAGTCCCAGAGAGCCGTAGACTCCGCAGCTGAGACCTACGGCAAGATCGTGCACTACAAGGTGAGCACAGGCCCCAGGAGCCTGTCTGTCACACCAGGGCAACCAGGCGGACTCTGTCCCTCTTTGTCCCGAGCAGGAGCACTTGTCTCTTCAAGGCCAAACCTGAGATTCCCCCTAAAAACTCCTCTCCAGGATGTCACTGGACAGAGACTACCTTTGAGACATCCAGGGAAAAAGAGAACCCAGAGACCTCCCAGCACCCCAGGGTAGATCCCAGATACTCTGCTCAAGCAGTGGCCCGTACACACGAGAGCGGCCCCATTCCAGTTAAGAGTTTCTCCAATAGAGCGATCTTCGTATGAGACCTCAAAATCGGCCACAAAAAGAGCAATAAAGAACATCATCTCCGATTCTAGATTTTTTTTTAAAGCCCCCTCCTCCACCTGAGACATATCCTGCCAGCACTCAGACCCCCGTGCAGGCCCTTGAGGGCAGTTAACCCATCCTACCACTTCCTCTCCCAGCCGCAGCCTTGTCCTTCCTAGTCACCGGGCCAGGAGCTCACCAGGTAGTTCTCGTCCTGGAAGGCGAAGTGCAGCTGCGTGATCCAACGGCGGTCGCCGTTCACCAACACATCCCTCTCTTCTCGGAAGCACGACACCTGCGCGGCAGCCGAGGTGCTGAAGGTGAGAGGCGCAGATCCCCAGCTCCACCACACCCGGCCCGGCCCTCACCTCGCCTCTCTTCAGCATGTCCCACTTATTCATGATCTTCATGGCATACACCTGGCCCGTCTGCTTCATCTTCACCACCGCTACCTAAAGGCGAAACAAGGTGACCGTAGAGAAGTGGCCAGAAAAACAGAAGGCCAGCCAAGCCAGACTCCACCCCTAACTTTACCCAGCCGCGGCCCCGCCCCGGTCGCGCCACGCCCCTTGGCCTCCAGCCCCACCTCCAGGCCAGTCTCAGGTTCTAACTCTCATTCATCAATTTCGAAGGTCCCGCCCCCACGCCAATGCCCCGCCCACCTCAAGGAGCGCTCCCGCGCCGGCGGCCACTCAGGACTCACCTCGCTGAACGCGCCGCGTCCAATCACCTTCAGAATCTCAAAATCGTCCCTCTGCAGTCGGATCTCCTTAAGCCTGGCCACAACCGGCTCCGCTGGGTGTGGGGGGCGGGGGCAGAGGAAGAACCGAGGGTCACTGGGACAGGCACTGGGGAGGGCTCTGGCCCTCAGTGTGCCCCTCTCTCTGTTTCTCAGTTTCCCTTTAGGACTGTCTGCACCCACAGCTCTCCCGCAAGAACACCGTGTGAAGTTTCGGTGACCCAAAACTGCGCTCTCAAGAAGCCTGAGAACCCGTTCTGGGGACAGGGCGTTGGGCCAGAGGGCTCCAGTGGTGCAAGAGTAACAAACACCTGCAGAATAGAGGTCTTGGGGAACAGAGGGGAACGGGCATAAGCCCAGTTCTTAGACCTCCCTGCGCCTCAGGCCCCCACTCCCACTGCCGGCGACAGGTAGAGTGCCCCCCCCACCCCGAAGTTCCCATCTTCCGAGTCTTGGGTTCCGGCCCAGAACTGCCGTGTGCTCCGTGCGCATGGCTCTTGGAGCACTTTGCGAAACACTGAGTTTGGGCCCAGGAGAGGATGGCGAGGCTCAGCCAGCACTGAGAGCCTGAGCCCTGCTGGAAGCGGCTCTGTGCTCCCCAGGAGGCGGCAGGCTCCGCTTACAGATGCCCTCAGCGGCAGAGGCTACTAGCCTGCAGCCGGCCCGCAGCGTACAGTTCCAGAGGGGGACAGGCGGGTGCAGGCTGGAGATCAGGGGCAGCGGGGAGAGGGCGGCCTGGCCTCGGGTCGGAGAAGCCAAGCTTGGGTGGCGGAGAGGGGGAGGGGAAGGGGGCCACGGAGAGAGGGGGTTCTGAGAGTGGGGGCCGGCAGGGAAGCAGCAGCCGGGGCCTAGGACGGGGGAGGGAGGAGAGAGCCAAGACATTGAGCCCTTTTAAGGCAGCGGGAACCCAGGCCCCCTCCCCCGCCTCAGGGCCTCAGGCCTGGCAGGGGAGGGGCCGAAGGATGCGGCTCAGGCCACAAAAGGACTGCTCCTTCCAGGAGAGCCAGAGCCCTGCCCCCACCCAGGCCTCAGTTTACCCTGCCAGCCCCGCTTCATTCTCTGTAAAAGAGAGGCTGGGAGAGTCACTGAGGCCAGAGGAGAGGAGGGAGAGGTGTCTTCCAGGGGCCGAGTGGGCTGTCCTTCGCCCTCTGCCTTCCCATCCATGAAATGGGAGAGGAAGGAGAGGAATGGCGCCCGGGTCAGATAGAGCGGGTCATGGCCGAGGGAGCTGGGGAAGGCATGGAAAGGAGACAGTGGCAGGAATATGCACAAGCCAGGGACCAAAAGCAAGACACTGAGGGACACATCTGTGGAGTGAAGCTAGAGTGAGCCTGAGACCTAGGCCTGGTGCCGGGTAGGGGCAACAGGGCAGACGATGGCACTGAAGCATTTCACCCTTCTCCTCCGACTTGTCCGCAGGCCCAGAAAGACCTTTCCAGAAGGGACTTCACAGGACTGCGAGGGGGTTGGTGGCCCTGAACTGGGACCACTAAGGAGGTAGAGAGCTGGAAGGGACCATGGCTGATGCAGGCTGGGAGGGACCAAGACATGGGGGGGCAGAGAAAGGAGCACCCCAAAAGCCCAAGTCACTCCAGTTGGAGGGCCGAGGGGCCTGGGCAGCGCCCCTCTGCAGAGCTGGTTTCCCCCAGAGCCTGCATGAGTCACCGTGCCCTCCCAGAGCCTGGGCACCTGTCGGGGCAGCTGGAGAGGCTGGCGCCCAGCACCTGTCAGCCACACCCAAGGCAGCTGTCCCTCCTTGCTTGCCCTTGTGCTTTTAGACCAGGGTAGCTGGTCATAGGGCCCATTGAGGAGACGGTCATAGGAGATGGGGCCGCCAGGTCCCTAGCCTAGAGGGTAGGGGGTACAGGGGGACAACAGGTGGCTGCGCCCAGCTTAGCCTGCCAAAGCTCCCCCACTGTAGCTGAGATACAGCTACTCTGGTCTCTGCTGACTTCACTTGGCCCAGCCAGGGTGGCATGGACACAGGGGTGTGCTGCCCAAGAACCCAACCCAAGCTCTGGACCACCTCATGGGAAGTTATCTCCATACCTGCGCTGCTCCCCAAGCCCAGGAGCCCATGCAAGCCAGCACTCACCCCACTGTAAGAAGTCGGCCACATACTTGTCCTGGGCCAGGTCGGAGGCACCCAGCTCCTGGTGGACGCCCAGGAGAAGGTCGAGCAGGGGCTCCAGCCCCAGGAAGCTGGGGTCCAGCGCCAGCTGCTGGAGCTGCCTCAGCCGCACCTCGGCTGACATGTCGGGAGGGCAGCACCATGGCCCCTCCCGGGGCCGAGGCTCGGGGTCCTCCTCTTACGGGGTCTGGCAGACCCTGCCCAGGCCCCGGAGCTCTGACCGCATGTCTGCCTGTCCCTGGCCGTCCCCTGGGCCTCTCTGGCCACTTCTCTGCGGCTGAAGCCGCCTCCTCTTCTCACCCCACCCCCTAGTCCAGCCCCCTCCCGCCTCCCACTTTTAACCCCTCAGGAGCCAGCCCCCCAACACCCCCTTCCTGGGCACCATTGACCCTTTCAGCGCTAAGACAAGGACTGAAAAATCAGTTCTCGCAGCTTCTGCTTCCCAGTGAAGAGGTGCGGCATAAGCTACGCTGAGTCCTCCCATTGTCCAGATGGCCAATCGAGGCCGACTGACCCAGTAGCTCCCCCTGCATCTCCCTCAAGCACCATAGCTGGGGGGAGGCAGAGAAAGGGCCTGAGGCCTGGGGGGGTGGGGCAGGCCAGGGCAGTTTCTCCAGTGACTCAGATGGATTCCAACTTTGGGATAGTTAAATTTAGCCCCTGGGCCCCCTGCTTTATACTTTTTGTTTGGCAGTAGGTGGGGAAGGGGTGGTAGAGCTGGGTGGGGACACTCTCAGGAGCCAGGGCCAGGGGTGACCTGCTGGCCAAAGCCTGGGGGAGGCGGGTGGTAGAGCCAGGCCCTCTCCGGGCAGGAGACCCTAAAATAGCTCCTTGGCCCCTGGCCGGGCAGCCACATTCCTGCCCAGGCTGGGATTAGAAACAGAAACATTTCGGGGGGTGGAGCGGGAAGACTCCGCTCCGCGCTTCTGCAGAGCCGCCAGCAGGGCCCGTAGCTTTTCTTTCCAGAAAGGGCAGAGAAAACCATGGCCCCACCTGGCAGCAGGGACCTGGACCACAGCAGGGCCAGGGCAAGTCACCAGACTTGTCCCCACCCCCAGCAGCTCAGACTACTCCCGCGGCCCCTTGATGGTACCTCCAGGAGATGCCTGGGGGAGCCCCGTCGGGGGAGCCCCATCGGGCCAGCCATGGAAAAGTGGGGGTAGACATTTGTGATGCTTTAACTCTCAAAACACCCCTGAGCACATTGAAGAGGGGCTCCTGGCTGTCCTCTGTCCTCCCCCACGGGCCCTGCTGCACCTCATGCCCCTAAGCCCTCCCATCAGAGGCAGGCTGGGGGAGGCGGGCTGGCTGCTGCTTCCTTTGGTAAAAGCCAGGTCCTAGGACAGGAGCCAAGAGCGCTCACACACTTCCTCCCGTCCGCCCGCCTCGCGCAGGGAACAGAGCCGCTGTGCAAACAGGGAGCTTTAGTATAAATAAGAGATCCTGGGGGACAAGGAGGGTCCTGGGGACTTCCATAACTTAACACTCTTCAAAAGCACAGACGACAGCAAGGAGGGGGACGGAGTAGGGGCTCAGAGGGGGACCATTCCTGCCCTGCCTTCTCACCCCAGGGGTGCACTGCAGCGCTGGGGCTCTGGTGGCAGGGAGCTTCTCCCCAGGAATGACCAGTCACATGCTGGGGACGGGGATGTGGGTTAACACTGTTTCAGAGGAAAGACCACAGTACTTGGCAATAGGAGGGGACAGGGCTGAGGCCACTTGGGCCGCTACACCCCATCTGGGCCAGTTTTGGGGACCCCCAGTATTTGTGCAGGGCGGGGGGCCGGAACAGTCCTTCCTTTGTGGTTAGTCTTGTTAATACATTGATCCGTGAGGTCAGCAGGGAGGGCTATGGCTGGGAGGCTGGGAGCTGGGGTGCAGGACCCGACATCCACGGCTCACACCACGGTGCCACTGGGGGAGCTGCCTGGCTGGGAGGAGATGCCCTGGGGAGGACAAGAGGGAGACGGGAGGGTTAGACACCACCTGCAGTGCCCAGGGAAGGAGCAGCTGGAGTCCTCAACCCACTCCTGCCCTGGGGCTGCCTCCCGGCCCACCCCAGCCCCACGGCCACTGTACTAGTCCCGAGGCCCAGCCTGGCTGGTGGCTAGCTTCCCTGTCCCAGCAGTCAGCAGGGTCACACAATAATTAAAGATCCCAGCAGAGACAATGGGGTAGGGCTGGGGAAAGTGGGGTCATCTGACTTGGACCGTGGTCCTGAGATGCTGGGAAGGCAAGAACTCAAGGACAATCCTACCTCTACCACTGAACTGCTGGGGGACCTGGGCCAACTTCCTTCCCCTGCCTGGGCCTCGGTCTCCTCGTCTGTGAACTAGGGAGACAGAGGGTCTCTTTCAGGAATCAGTCCGACTGCCCAGATCCCGCCGCCCTTGCCTCCAAGCTGAGACTGTGCTTGGGTTCTAGGAACTCAAGTCTCAGCTCCCGAAGTGGAAGAGCCGAGACTCTGAGCTGCGGCCCTCAGATCTGGGGTCCTGGGCACTGAGGCCGAACTGGAAGGAGCAGAGATGCCCAAGAAACACTCCAAGCTCACAAGGTCCCTGCCTTCCCCTGTGGTGACCTTCGAAACCCCACAGCCACCTGGGAGCTGTGTGCACCCACCCCAGCCCACCTGGCGGGCTCTCTGTCCTAACAGTGGTGAGCAGGTCAGAGAGGCCCAGGGCCCGGCCCCAGCCCCGGCCCGAGGTCACAAAGGGAGATGTGCTGGCCTTGAGCCTGGGTCTGACTCCCAGCCCAGCCTTCCGCGGAGGACTCGGATCCTGAAAGTCCAAGAGCCTCGCTGGAAGTTAGGCCCAGAGGCTTCACCTTGCCTCAAAAAATTCCATCATCTGAAATCAGGATTCTCCACAGAAATGGGCTCTGCCTTGTGACAAGAACTAGAACCAGGCCACAGGGGCCCTGTCTGCTGCCCTTCAGGACCCCAGCCATGGGTCCCCCGGGCCGTGCTGACTCGGTCCGCTACCCTGCTCACTGCTGAGTCCAGGCGCTGCAGCACCGCAGTGCTCTGAGCCTGTGGGGTCTCGTTGTGGGCGCTGAGATCTCCATGCTTGCTTCCCCTCCTCCCACTGGGCCAGAGGCCGGGCCGGCGCCACACCCGCCTGCCCGAGCCTCCTCCGGGGCTGGGGTGGGACTCACTGCCTTGCCGGGCCGGGCCCAGGTGCAGATGAGGCCCTCCTGGCAGGCGGTGATGATGCAGTCCTCCAGGAACAGCAGCACCGTCAGCCGCTCCTGGGCGATCTTCTTGCACACCAGGGGCTCCAGCAGCGGCACCTCGTGGATGCGCGGGCACAGTGCGGTGCCCAGCACCTTGGCAGGGTCCAGGCGGCTGCGGGGGGCTGGCCCGCTGGGTTTGTCGCCGCTGCTGCCCCCACTGCCGCCTCGGCTGATGTTGCCCAGGCTGTGGTAGCGCTTGTGCTCCTTCTCGGCGCCCCGGTCCCGCCGCTCCTGCAGCGTGAGCGTGGCGAAGCGGCCGATGCTGAAGGGCGTGCCCGGCTCTGCGGTGGCACCTGGGCCGCCGGCCTTGCCGCCTGCTGGGTGTGGGAGGCTGTTAGAGCGGGACAGGGAGCGGGGCAGGGGGCCTGGGCCAGGCTCCGTGCCCCTGGAGCTGCCAGTGGCTGGCGGCGTGGCACCGGGGGTGCCAGGAAGAGTGCGTGTGCGCGTGAGGGGTGGGTGGGGGGAAAGCACGTCTTCGGTGAGGTCCCACAGGCAGAACTGCGTGTCCTGGCCCGCCGAACCGAAGCGGTAGGTGATGGAGCCGGCCTTGGGCAGTGGGGAGAGCGAGGCGCCCCCGGCCGTGCCACCAGCCTCGGGCTCCTCCTCCTCCTCGCCGCTCCCAGCCCCGTCACCACTCCCCGATGTCGCCTCCTCGGCCCGGGTGGTGTAAGGGTCAAAAGCCACGGCGTTGACCCAGGACTTGTGGCCGTGGCCTCGAGCCACCACGCGGCCCTCAGTGAAGGACCACACGGTGACCAGGTCATCCTCGCCTCCCGTCACCACGTATCGGCCGTCAGGGCTCCAGCACACGCAGAGCAGACCCCCAAAGTAGCTCTTCATGAGCCCCCGCAGCAGCATAGAGTCGAAGTGGAAGACGCGCAGGCAGCCGTCCTGGCTGACACAGGCCAGGTGGCGGCCGTCGGGCGAGAAGGCAAACTCGTTGAGGGGCCCTTCGCCCACCGCCCACTTGGCCAGCGGGTTGCGGGGTGCCTTGCTCTTGGCAGCGTAGACAGCAAAGCCCTCGCCCTGCTTCAGCAGGCTGTACTGGGGCGGCGCCGAGGCGCAAGGGTGGCTGACGTTGTACAGGTACAGGTGGCCGCTGGCGTGGGAAGCCAAGAACAGGCTCTCGGACTCAGGCAGCCACTTCAGATATGTCACCTTGGTCTTGTCAATCAGCCGCTGCACGGGGAGACAGGGTGGGGTTGGACAACACCGTCAGCCCTGAGCAGACCTCACCCCAACCTGGGGCCACCCAGGCCTTTGGACCTCGGCCAGTCACACAGGTGGTGCCACACCAGGCCCAGGCCCAGGCCCTGGCAGACAGCAGCTCCCACACCGAAGGAGGCCCATGCCAGGTCACCACAGGCCAGGGCAATCAGGGCTGGTGCGAGGAGGCCATGCAGCCCTGAGCTGGTGGCCCATCTCTGGCAAGCGGACAGTCCTGCCTTCCACACTGCTGTCCTCCATCCGCCTAACCCTTTCCCCATCTTCACCACGTGAGGGTTAAGAAACGGATTCACTAAATGTCAGCCCTAGCACACGGCCCTGTCCACACAGCAGGCGCCTTGAAGGCATTCCCGCACAAATGTCTGACAGCCCCGTCCTGCCAGCCGCTTAGGCCAAAAACCCTGCGGGCATCTTCACTCCTCTGTCTTCATGGCTCACGTCCAATCCGCCAACAAACCCTGCGGCCTTAACTTCAAAGCACAACCTGACCTCCACGCCAGCCCACTCCACCACTCTGACCTCAGCTGCCACCAACCCACAGGGCCTCCCTGGCCCTCGGGCCTCCCACACACGGGACCGCCTCCTCTCCAGCCATCCTGGCACCCGCCCAGGACACCCTGCAACCTTCTCTCCCAGAGCTCCGGAGAGAACAAAGGCCCTAGGCACCCGTCACCGTGGAGAGCGGACTTCTCTCCAGGGCCCAAGCCTCCTCCATTCTGGGAATGCTGAGAAAACCACCCTCCCTGAATCATTCTCTGCTCTATGGCTCAGCTAAGCCAGACTGAAAGCTGCTCCGCAGACTCCCTCTAGGAGGAAGGGGCGAAGTCTCTTTGGTGCCTGCAGGGAGCTGGCCCTTCCTGTTATGTCCCCAAGCATCACCTACCATCCTCTCTCCTTCAACCACTGCCCTGGCCACCCGGCGTTCCAGCTGTCCTGTGCAGGGACCTTTGTCCTCAGTGTTCCCTCTATTCAGAAAGTCCTTCCCAAAGGCCCTTCCTGGCCTCCTTCAGGTCTTCTTCATTTCAAAGTCACCTCGTGGCGAGGCCTTTCTGACCAACCCACTTAAAACTGCCAGACTTCCCTCTGCTTCTTTCCCGATGGCCTCGCCACCAGGAAACGTGCAGGACCCTTACTGCAGCTGATGGCCATGCGCTCCCCACTTGAATGAAAGCTCAGCAAGGACAGGCCCTTCTGCCCTTCCGCTCACTGAGATGTGCTTGGAACCGTGCCTGGCACAGGGAAGATGCTCCGTAACTACTCTGAATGATGAGCTAATAGATTTTTAATCCATTCTGTTCCACTCGCCCCGTTCAGCCGTTCACTCATTTAGAGAATACTTCTGGGACACCCCTCTGGAGCAAAAAGAAAGAGATACAGGACAAGAGCAGCCCCTGCCAGAGGATAAGGCCCTGTGCTGGCATTTCCTCTTGAGCCAACTGGCCCAGACTGAGCAACTGCCATGGGGAGTTCACATCAGTGCTGGGCGGTAGGGATAATCATCCTTCAGCACAGGAGGAAAGCTGACCCTTGGACAGTAGCCACCGTCCCAAAGTCAGGTAGCGAGTCTATGATGTAGCGGGGATTTGAATCCAAAGCCCACAGAAGCCCAGAATTTGAAGAGTAAGGGTATCCGTAAAAGCCCAACCACCTGGGCATTATGGCGTACACCTGTAATCCCAGCACTCAGGAGGCTGAGGCCAGCCTGGACTACAAAGTGAGTGCAAGGCCAGCCTGAAGTGCATAGCGAAACCCTGTCTCAAAAAGATTCCCTAAAAAAGCCCAACCAGTTACTAGCCTCAGTCCTCTAATCTGCAAAATGGGCACCAAAATGTCTTACCCACTGGTTGATGAAGTTCAAGGAG